GCGGTACCCGCAAGCAGACGGGTACACAATCCGGTCACGGCGCTGCGGTAGGCTTATATGGGCCGTTTCCCCACCTGTCTATCTTACACCCTGGTCGCTGTCAGCATGACGAAACTCGACGTCACGAAAACGTCCCGACAGCTTTACGACGTCGACGTCATCGTCGACGACGTTACACGACGTCAAGACTTCATCGTGACTGCGCGTCGATGTTGATGCTGGCGAAGGCGACGACGTTAGACGCCGTCAAGGCTTTGTCGTGACGTTGACGTTCACGATGACGTCAGGGCGACGCTAACGTGGCGCCATAGCGATGTTTGACGTTGCGTGGGGCGTCGACGTCAACGTCGGCATCAACGACCACGTCCTCGGTATCCTCAATGTGGCGCGCGACGTCATGATCGCGCTACAACGGCAACTTGATGTCGCCTAACGGCGTCGTCCTCAACGCAACGCGATGTCACGACCGCATCACAACGGCGAACTGATGTCGCGTAACGGCTTCGTCCTCAACGCGATGTCACAACCGCGTTACAACGGCGACTTGGTGTCGCCAAACGGCGTCGGCCTCGACGCGACGTGATGTCCGGACGGCCTTACGAGAGCAGTTTGGCGTCGCGTAACGTCGTCGACGATGACGGCCTGGCGTCGCCGTGTCGTGGTGCTCTAACGTCACGTCTGACGTCAAAATCATAGAAAATACAATCTAGCCCCTAGGGGGGCTACATTGCCCATGTAACCTTGACCTGCGTCGTTGCTTGATCGCAGCGGAGGTGGCGCTGCGATCAAAGTGGATTGGTTTCCACCTGATCAATTTCCACATTTCGAGGTGCAACTGAAAGCATGAGCGGAGCCTATAGCTCGTCCCACTCGCACCTTCTAGTACACTCTAACGTCGCGCCCATTGGTACAGACATATTTGCGACTGATGTTGCTTCACGGCCAATCAATTCCCGAAAATTGGCTCAAGAAGTTTGACAAGTTCGACCGACTTTTTTATCTCGATGCTAAACACGAACAATTCGCGAAATTCGCTTATTGTGTCTAAAAAAAACTCTGAGGGTGTTTTTTTATTCGCTCCTATCGATCGCGTTTCTACATAAATAAATAAAAAAAAAAAAACAAGTAAATAAAAAATCCAATAAGTTATTGACGCCCCGATGCTAAATTGAATTCTTAGAACTCAGCAGATTCATTGTTTTACGAGCGGAGGATGTTTTGTCTGCGACCTGTTTCACAGATTTAATAATCTCGGCTTTGTGGCGTAGCCGTTTTTATTGTGAGGAGTTCTGACTGGCCTTTGCGAGTTACTTTTCAGAGATTAATATATAAAAAATTCAAATGTGGCACTACCCTGAATGTGACTCGTACAATATCATTAAAATTTCGAAGACTTGGCAATAAAATGCCTTCTCATAGAAAAAATATCCTCTCATTTTTCTTTATATTACATAAAAAGCTTAAGAATACAATTATGCATTGAGTGTTAATATTTTTATTACCGTACGAAGCACAAGATTCGAACGAACATTTCAGCTCATCGCTCTTCTTAAAATTTTTAAACATCACAGCCCATAAATTTCTCGTGCTTTGAGACACTGGTTAGTTGCCAGAGAACAAATAAAACCATACGTTCTTGTTAAAAAAAAAAAAACAGAAAAAAAAAAACATTTGGATATATGCTAGAGCTGGGCGTCGATATAAAAATTTTAACCCTATGAATTGGCTCCCTTTAATCGATTAATTAATCGGTGTCGTTCGTTTCCATGTAAAATACTTTTTTTAAAGTCAGATGAACTCATATATATATATATATAAAGAAGTGAAAAACTCACGGTAAAAAACAACAAACAGCGGAAGTTTAATCGACAGTTTCGCCGAGAGACTCGGCTTCGTGTGGGCATATTTCTGCGGCAAAAAATTTCAGAACTGGGAAAAAAAGAAGTATACCCGATGTACGCGTTGCTACATAGCAAACAACTCGACCTGAGCCCGCTCCTCTTGCGGGGCAGCGAAATGCAAAGTGCGCTTGAACGCTTACAACAGTGGCTACAATAGGTCGTGAACGGGCGACGTCTTCTTGGCTGATGGCCCCCAACGAGCCAATGCATCCCCGCGACGGTCATCCATGGGGCGCCGCGCGTGTCAAGGAAACCGAAAAAGCAAAAAATTGCAAAAACATGTTTGCCCTGTCTTCCAATAAAAAAAAAAGAAGAGAGGGTACGGGGTTGGGGGGGGAGGGGGGAGGGTACCTCTGTGGAGATGTGGTTAATGAGACGTAAAACACGCGTGTAGGAGAAAAGCACGGGAACAGCACGGTTTCATAGAAGATAACATGAACAATATAGGAGTCGTAATACAATAATCACGTGGTCCAATTCCAGTCGAAAATACCGTAGCACTAAAAAGGGTAGTCTAGGTTAATGCTCTTATTGATGCAAGTGTTCCCAGACTCTCATTTATTCCTTTCTCTAGAATTTGTATATGAGGTATGAATCTCGCTGTTCGCGCTCCCGGTTTCATATAAATCCAGTTTTCAGTAATGTCACAGATAATTCACCGAAAGAATATATATATATATATATATATATATACAGGGTGTTTCACGAAAGGTGGACAAATTCGATATTGCGAAAACTACACGTCACAACAAAAAAAGGCTTGTGTCGTTTTGGTCCTGGGCCAGGGGCCTATTTAGGAAAATTATTAAAGTCCGGGATAATTATATTGTTAATTATTTTTGCGTAATTAACTGTTTAATATTAGGTTTAAGGGCATGGATTCAAATAGAAAATGGATCAGCATAATTAAAAAAAAAAAAAAAATCAACAAATTGCAGAACGTTAGAAGGTACGAGCAGCATTTTACGGCTTTCTGGAAAACCGCACAAATTCGACGGGTTTTTAAGTGTCGGTTTGCTATCGGAGCGCATCTCGGCCCCGGCGGCACCGCACCCGTGGAGAAACAGTGCAACCAGCCTCTGCTGCGCTGTCATCGCGTGACGCAGCAGAGGCTGGTTCCAATGGCGCAGTTCATGCAATGGCGCAGTTCATGCACAAGTTTAATTATAAATCAGCCTTGATGTGTAGTTGAGAAGATAGAAGAGTCCAAAGACATTCACATTTGCTGAGGCAAAGAGCTCAGACGGAAACTCACGCGGCGTTGAAGGGTTCGAGACATAACCTCATGCACTTGCTTCGAGTCACAAGTTTCGTCCCTACAATATATTTTAGGCAAAAATTTCATCCAAATCTTGGTGTACTGTTTCACGTCTCCGTGGTGAAAACGGTGCATTTTTTTGGCCAAAAATGAAGCGATAAACCAGTTAAATATATCAATCGCGATTAAATCATTAATCGACTGATCGGTAAGTTAATCGATCATTCGCCCAGCCGTAATGTATAGATAAAGGTGTGCCTTTCTAACGATACTTTCACAAAGCACACATTCTTAAGTACCTGGGTGGTTCGATATTTCTTCGAAAGGCTCGAATGGACATTCCGAACAGAGTATACCGCTCCTTTCGCCGCGCCGAAAGGAATGCTGGGAACTAGCTGTATATAACATGGACGCGCTGACAAGCGGGCTAGGGCAGTACCACCTAGAGGACAATGCCGGCGGATGACGTCATCGTTAGTGAATTCCCGACCCGCCCCAAGCGGCAAACTCGCTGAAGCTCGACGAGGCTAGGCCAGGCAACGTTTCTTATGTATACAAGGCCGAATCGCTCGATCTTGCTACGTCACCTACAAGGGGCCTGCGAGGGCGGCCGATTGGACACGAGCGCTACGTCATCACTCGGCAGGGACTCTTGTTCATTCAGCAAACAGCGGACCGACGACGCGCCACCCGCGTCCAAATGTGCACCCCGCTCTGGTTCCTTTTAACAGAAGCTTGCGCGGTACTCGTTACGATACATCATATTACTTGTAATCAATTAGTTTTTAGAGTAATTTTGTAATCTTTTGAATACATTTATTAGGAAGTAACCACATGAGTAATTTCATTACTTCTAGAAGTACTGAAATTAAAGTAACCCTCGCTATTTTTCTGTTCCCCTCTATGATGGCGCCCTTAGGTGTCGTTCCAAGGAAGCGTCGAAACCAGTCTACGACAGCAGGATGGTTTAGCGAAATCTGGGGACTCGAAAGATAAGTAGTTTTGGAGTTTGATGATTCTAATCCAGCGAGGGGCCACCCGTTTTCAAATCGGTGGAAGTGTCTGTCGTTTTGAATATCTCAAGTAATCGGAAAACTAGCGGCCAATTTCTTTTCTTCTCAAGTAATCGAGTAGTCTAATTTTAGTATCTTTTTACCGAGTGAAATTGTAAGTGTAAGCAATTATTTTTTTCGAGTAACGGATACAAGACTGCTTTAGGTGACGGAGAAAATTCCGCGCTACGCCCTTGCAATACATAGCTTGTTTTTTTCTCTTTTTTTTCAACTTTAGACTTTCAAAATGCTTTCGAGGCTACACAAATGCGCGTTTTTTTTTTTGTGTGTGTTTTTTTCGCCACACAAGCCTTGGGCACGTTGCACGAGGGGTGAATTTAGCGAATCACTATGCTTCCCACGCTCTTGGCTGACACTCGGAGAGTTTCTAATCGAACCCATTTCTTCTATTTGAACAATTAAAAAAAAATGTAATAAATTATAGTTAACTAACCTACTTATTGCGACAGTAAAAACTATCTTTACGTCCCCCTGTCCGTATAGAACTCCCCTGCGAAGACCGCGTTAGTATAGATTTCACGGCTTTTAAAACATATCTGTACACCCACCACGCCCTCTCTCTTCCTTTCTCTCTCAATAGTTCTTCAGTGTCACGTGGTAGATGCTGCGGGAGCAAGGAGGAGCACGCTCGACACTCTTATAATTCGTTGCGCGTTTCGCACGCGGTTTAATTTTTTGCAAAAGGTCCGTCGTACTCGAGTGAGGACGGTTCACACAAAACTACGACGCGACAAACTACTTCCAAAGACATTTATGCTCTTTGAGACGTAGCTTTTAATGCGCTGGGACAAAAGCGTCTTCGGAATCGCTTGCACCGACAGCGTTGAGAGTTTTAGCGACCCGGCGCCGAGGTGGAAGACTCAATGTGAGGGAATGCTGCTGCGGCTTCCTCGGAGACTGCTGTCTCATTGCCCATCCGAGGCTGGACTGGCTCCAATGGTTCTTTCCTGTCGTTGTCGTCGAAACTGCCGTCGCCGCTGATTTTCCCCTCTGTGGCGGCGCAGTTCTGTGAGGGTTCGCGACAAAGAGCATGGTATACACACCAGCATGCTCGATGCAAACCAGAGCCGCGTTTGTCCACACTATCCCTGTGCGCACTGCGTCTGGGCAGATACCCGATCGTGAGATGAAGCGTCTGCGCGTGCGCAGTGACGACGGAAACGCCACTCTAGTGGCGTGACGTAAGAGAACTAACTGATTTGGTGTATGTAATGCCACTAAATAAGCTACGCTTCGCAGCAACGACATTTGGCCATATTGTGTCTTAAAATCAGGGTTGCCATATATCTGAAGCTTTATCTGAAATCGCAAGAAACGCTTTTCCGCCCTCCAGAAATGTTTCAACAGTTCGCGACAGAGCAAAGCAATATTATATGAGCTTCCTAACACCGAATCTAATGCTAAGGAAGTCGCACTTTTGAATCATGACGATCGGCAGTTGCGTCTGCTCTGCATACGAACCAAAATGGCGGCGCCCACAACAACATCGGGGAACAGAGTGCCGATACTCTAAGCTCAGCTCATTTAGTGGCTCTAGGTGTATGCATGCGGACGCTTTGTCTTTGCGGTGACGTAATACACGCGGCGTTCGCTTCAGACATGATGGTAGAATCATGTGCGGGACCACCTCAGGCATGTTTGAACCATGATTACTTCATACACACGTGTGCTGCGAACAACAGACAGTTTTTGTGTAATCAATTTGGCAGGACCGACACACAAACACGGAAGTGACACGCCTCGGTCATTGTTTGCGGGTAAGGGTGAGTCAAATAAAGATTGTTTATACTTTGATCTAAATCATAATTTAGATCAAACAAAAGTCTTAGTATGACGATTTAAATCAAAATGTGTCCCTCAAAAGTAATCCCGTAAAATATTCCATATTTATCATTTCTTTATCATTTGGTGCCTTCTTTCTATCTGCTTTTGCTTATATTTGTTATCAAATAATCGGAGAAGAGATAGTTATTTTAGGCTGAACGCGAACAAAAAGCAGCCCTATTTCGGACAATCGCTAGCGCTGGGCTTTCTATCTACTTCCTTTGTCAGAAGAACAAGAAAAGGAGCAAAAATCTGGAAAAGTATGGGGGAGAAAATCAGAAAATGAAACAAATATACCTTTTTTTCTTTAACAAACCAAGAAACCAAGTCATTTTTGTTCCTATATGGCGGGATTGCATTAAATAAATGTTAATTGCAATGCTAAAATTTACCGTACTTCGCAATAGAACAGAGTTTTAGGGAACTGCTTTCGCAGATTCGATACGGTACGAATAGCCGTCCGCGGTACGAAGTGCGCATGCGCTACCGCAGAAGACTGGCGCATGCGCAGTTCGTACCGGACGGCCCACCGTTTACAGGATCGGATGTGCAAAAACGGTTCCCTGAAACTAGATCGGACCGATCGGTGAATTTTTTTTGCAACGCATAAAATACATGCTACCATAAATAATCAACTTTCGAGCTACAGTGATTTAGATAAAAATAAACCTGATTTCAAGCAAATATTGCAAAGTTTACTTAAACTAAAAGAAAATTTATGTTTTTTTGTTTTTTTTTTCACTATGTAGCAGACTGTTTATTATATGTAGGATTCCGTGTTTTCGGAGTTTATTTTCTTGCTAAAAATTCGGGGTTTACCGGAGTTTATTTTTTGTTACATTAAAACTTGGGTATAGGCGAGTTGGTCCACGCTGAATCAAAAGGTTAAAAGCGCGAACAAAACGAGGTCAATAAAGACACAAAGATTTTCAGTTCTAAGAAATTCGGTATTTAATTTTACAATGTTCCCAAATTTAAAAAAAAAAAAAAATTCCGGTTAGTGTTTTTTGGATTTTTTTCGGATTGTGTGACCATAGCATTAGTGTGAATAATCGTGCACACTAAAAGTCTTTACATCCTTAAGGGCACAAATCAGCCTGACCCAGGCCAAACACTCCAGTGTCTTATTTTGGGACAAATTGCGACATCCTTCGGGCACCCTGCAGGAACACTCACAGTGTCCCAGGGGGCCTTTGAATGTTCCAGAGCTGTGCTAAGAATACAATTACTAATAATACCGACACGTCGTCATACATTCGCAAAAACTTAACTCTACGGCCGCACAACGATATTCTCGTAATATTTTTGCGGACGTTTCTTTCTTACGGGATGCGTGTGAAGAAGAAACCTACCTCGACGGCTTTTAGTATATAGTTGCCTTTGAACAGAGGCTGAAAGATAGGAGCAAATAAAAGCAAAGTCGTTATGAAGTTCACACCCACAGGACTAGACCAACACCAGCTATAATAATACTACTAGCAATAATAATAACTATAATAAGTTAATATTATTTACTTTCATGTGCCCACAAACAGTTCGAGACATTCCGTGTGGTAAGCAACAAATATAACGCAAATAATAATAAACGAAAAAAAAAAAACCACAGGTATCCACCTACGCAAGTAATGTACTATCGAAACTGTAGTAAAATGCTGTTACATAAAAAAAATCTTTTCAATGTGGTCAAAATTGCACTGATTAATTTTTTTTTTTTTTTTTTTTTTTTTGTAGGAAATGTGGTAAAGAGCGCCTGTGTGTGAGGGGCTGCGCTGGAGCCTCTTTCGTGTTCGGAGTTTTAATGAACGAAGAGCGGTGTTGATGTGAGCCAAGGTTGAAGAAGGAATCAACATGCAGGACGAATACGATGCCGCCAAGTCTTTTAAGTAGCAAGGGATATATAGCGAACAACCGATTAAAGGCGGGAAAATCGAGGAAAGAGAGAGTAACTAAGAAGAGAGGATGGAGGGAAGGCAAGATAAGATAAAATGCAAAGTCAGGTCGACAGAGTCGTCTCTGATTTGAAAAATTCAACTTCAGTCTTCGTCAGAAACACACGACGTTTGACGTTTCCGCTGTTCATGGCGAATGACTCAATAATCTCCAAGCCATATCTGATGAAATGTCCCTTCCCCAAGATTCTTGTGCCTTTGGGCAAAGATTGGAAATGAGTGCTGCGTCAGCGATGGGCTCACGAAGCACTCGTGTTCTGACCGTCTTAACACGAGTCCGGGTTGAACGCTTTTACAGCCATCGTGTCCAATCTGGCCTCCGCAATGTGTGGTACTATCGCGGACAAAATAAACTGAAGCAGTTTCTCAAGCGTCTTTGTCCTTCCTGCTGGTTATATCATCTTTGAGAGCTGTGGTCCGAAATAGGAATGCAACGCCAAGTTGAGATCCCACACTTCGGGTTCTTTGACGATTTGAGAGTTCACAGAGCTTATGGGGAGTGGAGATGCCGGCCGGATAGGCTGTTCGAGCCCATATTGTCTGCCGGGGTACGTAAAAAATCTAGCGATGCGCCCTTGTGACACGTATTATACTATACGTATCACAACACATCACGTCAACCCCGCCCTATAGGCGGGGTTGACGTGACAAACAGGTACGATCGTCCTATTGCATTTGTAGGCAAGACTGGGAATGACGTGACGTGGACTCTAAAACGAACACGATAAGGTATCGCGCAGGATTGTGGATGAGCCTCATTGAGGTGTTCAAAAAAATTTCTTCTTTGCAATAAAAAGAAAACCAATATAGGAGGCAGGCGGAATCCATTTTTGGGCTTCGATTGTGCTTCGAGGCGAACACTAAGTGCAAAAGGATAAATGTAGATGTCGATTGTCTATTTAACTAAAATTTAAAGGTAAACTTTTCATTCCCGGAATTGGTGCACCTGTCTGTGACAAAAACCTCAAGGTGGCCGCGTATTCTGAGATTGTTCTATTCTGTAGAATTTTCGTGGTGGAGATGGAATCATCAAAGTCGCCATCCACTGCGGCTATTATGCCTTCAATACCGCGAAGTAAAACGCGAAAGCCCTTCCCAATGTTACACAGTCCCTGTGTATAACATTTTGTATGATTGGGGGATTGGTGGCCGAGTGGGCTAGCGTACACCAGCTCGGAGCACGTGGAGCGAAATCTCGCGCTGCAGAACCCAGGGATCCTGGGTTCAATCCCCACCCCGCCCGTTTCGATCTGGATGAGCGTCGTATGGGCGCGCGGTCGTGTATCACTACTGCGTGGTTGTGCTGCACTGACTAAATTGCTTATCTTTAAGCTGAAAGACAAGTTGCCAGTTGAGGCAGACTAACTTCCGGCTGTTTAAACATACAGACAGCAACTTTTTTCATTGATTTTGCAGCTTTCTTTTTTTGCTTCTTGGAGCAAAAAAAAAAAAAAAATATTACCTTCAATGTAATACCTTTCCCGTTTTTTTTTTGTTTTTTTTTTTAGTTTGTGTTTTGAGAAGTCTTGAAAAGAAACACCTTCTGAACATACACTCACTTCAATATTTTCCTTCCTGCCCAAGTCGTCATCAAAATCGTCATCCCCCTATTGTCAGTGACAGGTCAAGAACGAAGTGGAAGCCCCTCCCACCCCTTTCCGCTTTAGTAGAGCGAACGCTGGAGAGAAGGAGACCTCCTCTTCACTGTTCGCTCCGCTGAAGTGGAAAGGGGTGGGAGGAGCTTCCACTTCGTTCTTGACCTGTCACCGACTATAGGCGCATAAAAGATTAAACAAAAATATGTCATGGTGGCAAGCGTGATTGCACGCCCCATCTATATTATGTCAGGTTCACATAGCGCACTAAACTTTTCTACGGGTGAAAAATTAATTGTTAGTGAACATTTATTACTGCACTAACCGGATACTCTTCAAAGCAAATCTGAACTCCAAAAATAAAGATTTTCTCAAACTTTTAGACTTTCACCGAAAAAACAATTATCGGGATATTTAAGTTTCAATACATTTTGTTCAACAGGTCGACCCAAAATAAAAGCATGCTTGCAAACAGCTCAAACTCTCGAAGACTGTTTGGGTGCCTGGGTTGCAGAAGTAGCTCACAAAATAAAATTTCTCAAATGAAAAAAAAAAAAAAATGCTGACTAACATTTACATCTAGAAGTTAATTTTGAGTTAGAAGCCATTGCTAAACGTGCTTCTATTTTGGCACATCATACCGAAAGAAAAGCAGGAAGGAACAGCGCGTCATCGTGCTACAAATTAAGTATTGCGAGCTAAAATTTCGTTAAAAGCTCTTTCTTCGTGTAATCTAAGAATGTTAACATATGTGTCCTATTCAGGCAGTTTTTTTTTTTTTTTTTTAATGTGGTAATTTAGTGTTTCTTTAGTAACTAGACAGAAATACTCACGAAAGATCGCACAGACGGGCGACAGAAATGCGCAGAAAATGGGACAGAAATAGTAAATTCTGACATCCTTATTTAGTTGACTAAAAATATTATATATATATATATATATATATATATATATATATATATATATATATATATATATATATATATATATATATAAACCGGTCACAGCAGGAAGTTGTCTCCCACATAATTAGATAGTGTATATCTTCGAAAGAGCGCCTGTTTGCTATTTTGTACGATAAATTCTCTCGGCGCCGTGTCTCGAAAATATAGTGCAACGATTTTTTTTTTTGTGTATATCTATTCACGTCGTATGATGTCAATTTTCTATCTTTCCGAACACGTGTTTTAGCATCACTGACAACTTAAAAAACTGGGGCACGGCCGAGTTCTGAGCAACTTATAATTAATCTACAGACAACGAGATTGTGCCCGATAAGTCATTGACGAGGCAAGTGGCCTGATCATAAACCATGCCCCGCGCTTTTTCTAAGCTGTCAGGTAGTACCATGAATGCAGAGCAACTCTTTTCTATATTAATTATAGCAAGGAGACAAAACTGATCCTCACGTTACGTTTGGGCATTTTTCTTTGGACGCAATAAGCCCACTTGAGAGTCTGAAAAGAAACAATACTATATAAGAAAAAAAAAAAAAGAAACTGAGAGTGTAAAGGGTCAATAAAAGCAGTTCCAACACACAAAAAGAATGACAGAAATTAGTGTTCATTGCGGTTTTGATTTTTATTTATCACACCAGTAGATGTTGGTCGGTGTTTTTTCTGCTTCTTTTTAACATATTTTGTATGTTTGTCGCCACTGATCTCTACTATAAGGGGTTGGATGGCGCTTAGTTGCTTTCCGAGCCTGGCGCAAGTGAAGCCACCGGAAGTTCGATGTCTGTCCCGGAAGTCGGGCGTGCGCTGGGCTTCCTAGTGCAATCAGTCGATATTTTGGTCCATGCTTTCTTGTGTCTTTGATTGGGTTTTAATACTACCGTTCTGGATTAAATCCCGAGAATAAGGCATTGGAACGAGGGACATAAGCACACTTGATTAACTAGGATCTCAAAATGTTAACATCGAATGGCTTCCCAGCATACTCCTCGGGCCCGCATGCACTGTTACTCCGCAACCAGCAGGCTCTCTTGAAATGACGAGGAAAAAAAAAAACAAAAAAAAACAGCGCCCTGAACGCTTTTCGAACCAGCACTCGAAGAGTTGAAGAGCCTGTCAAGCGCTCACTTCCGGGACAAGCCGCTTACTTCCGGTGGCTTCAAACCTGTTTGCTCAATGCGCCATCCAGCCCCCTATAGTAGAGATCAGCGTTTGTCACCGACAAATGCTTATCGCTGATTTTCTGATGACCTAATTATAACGGAAGATGTGTACGAAAGAAATGAAGAAAAAAAAAGTTGTCCCATCTTACGTTCTTTCCGTACTTGCAAAACGAAATGAAATCTCGCACAGTGAACGCGTCGAACAGACAGTCTCTGCTTGCGACCAGGAAATGTTTGTCCATCTGCAGTTGAAAGCACAAAGTTGTTACATAATCAGTAAAAGATTTAAGATTTAAGAAACGCTAGGAATGGCGTATCTTTGTTTCTCTTCAGCCAATATTAGATTGCGGCGTTCGTTGACAAGAACACAGAAGAACAAACAGCGATACGCGTGACCATAATAACCCCTGCGTTTCTGAAACTGTCTGCGACCACACGTGAACTTTCCGTATCATTAATGGGCCGAGTTAGCCTCGCAACACTTTATTCACAAAATCCGTGATGGTACATCGTTTTTTTATGTGGCGCGACATTTGTAATTTTTTGTTTAGTCGCTAGAGTTATTTATTTATTAATATATTTATTTGATACGGTGCACAGCTGTCCCGCTTTTAATACTAAAAAAAGTGGATAGAGACATTGATTGGCCACATTCACCAAAACAATTTTCGTACCCTTAAAGCCCGCTGACCCGAATTTATATTCTACTTCGCCTTTAGCTGTCGTTAATAGCATTAATTCGAGCAAATGCATTATCTTGCTATGTAATATTTAATTTACCCACATAATATTATTTCTAATTGGTCTATTCGCCTGTGTATCGGTTCAATATGTCTTGTTCGCAACAATGACAAAGTCACTCACTGCAAACTAAAAGAGAACAGACGCGCGCCGTTTTGTGCTTTAAAAATCGTCTACTTCCGGCGAGACAAATGTACATTAAAAGGTTACGAGGGGACTGCTGGCGCCATCTGTACGTTATTGCGCAGAACAGAATTGTGTCGTTTGCAGATGGTGCAGGTACTCTAACCAACTGTGTTTAAATAGCCCGACGACCTGCAGCCTCTTTTAATAGTCACCTAACCAAGCAGATTTATACCGAAATGTTTACTTGTCGTTTGCAGAGGGACGCCGTTGGTAGAGAAAAATAATTCCTACGCTATTTCGCTTTACTCGTGTAAAGTTATTCCTTCAAATTTCGATAGACAATATGTACCACCTAGGGGCACCACTGTAGTGAACCGCAGCACGATACGTTAAGACGAAGGTTTTTTCGGTGCGTTTAAAGCAGGTTACGTTCTTTGGGGCAACGCTGCTTATCACGCTAAAACAAAACATTATTTTCTTTTATTGTGTACGCTTTGTTTTTCACTTTACTCAGTTTTAAATTATTGTTATCGGTTTCACAAATTAGTATTATATGCGTCTGCTAAAACGTAAGAACTGAGCAGGGTTGCAAGATTGGGGCACACCACAAGCCTTCTTTCGCTCAATGCCCAACGTGCAGATGAATAGAAGGTTAGGGATGTCAAGACTGTTTGTTCAACTTGACGTTTTGATTAGTTATTCATTTATTATTATTTATTCGTACTCTGCAGCGCCAAGCATTACAGCGAAGAAGTGGGTTACAGATCACAATTATACATTGAAAATTCACACTTACTGCACAAGCCAGCAAAGAAACAAAGAAACCTGAATCGCCGCTGGGGATTTCAGCAGGGAGTTGACATAAAAAAAAAAAACAGTCAATTGACACTACTAGAATATAGAAAAAAATTACATTATTACAAATTACAAATTAAATTACAAAAATTAAAATTGGCGCATTACTGAACGGTCCTTCTCCGCCAAAATGTAGCGCTTGTGGTTGGAACCAGATGCCAAAGTTCCAGCGCTAACCGTTGTTATTTTATTCAAAAGTCATACGTAATTTTCTCAAACATTTAATCGGATAATACGCGACGCTGAATGGCGCCAGTTACGAAAAATAGGCCTCATTTTTCCATTGCGAATTTCAGCAAATATTTCGTACACCAGCTCAGGTTTACAAACAACCCGGAGCGCCCCTAGCGGCATGCCACCGGCGCCGCGCATGCGCGATAGACTGTGGTCAAGAATGGCGCCGCGTCCCGCGTCGACAAAGCCATTGGAATGTCACGTCGCCAGCTTCGGCGTGATGTCCCCGTGCTGTTTCTCGCGACGGAATTGATTGTACGTCTTCCTAGCAATGTCTTACCACTTTAGTGACCTGAGCGAAATTAACGAGGCTCCTTACACAGCAAAACTTTGCGTAAATTGTTACGTGCCGCTATTCATTCGAGTGAGCGCCGCGGAATGGATGCTAAAACCATGATGATATTCTGGTCGCTATATTTTCAGTCGCGACGTCGCTCGGGCTGCCAAAGCATGGACGGTAGCTGCGATGCAGGACGTTGATATTGAAAATCACAAGCAGAATCGGACCAACTGAATCGGGCATAAAAAGTCGGTGAAGGCAACAGGTTACAATGACCAACATATAATTGTATCTACTGTTTACACGTAGCCTATTTACCCCAAAACAACCTTCAACTTATAAGTCTTTTCGCACCTGCACTTACTTATAGCAATTACTGGGTCCACGTTTGGTCCACGAGCCGTTGCCGTTTGAACGACCAGACGGCAACAAGCAGACAAGTTTAAAAAAAAAACACGATAGTTCGAACGATCAGGCGGCCGTCTGATATTGAAAACGTACTGAACGTAGCTCTCGGGTGGTCCGGACAACTAGACAGTTTTTCCGCGTTCAAGTTGGAACAAAACAAATAAATTTGGTGACCGCAAAAATCCGTGAATTCAACCCAAAGTGCTTCCCACAAACAGTCGTTGTCCTACAGCGTCTGGTTTTCCCTTTTCACGGCACCTATCCACGTTCTTAGACGAACCGAGCAGGCAGAAACCACGTAAAAATTTATGTTTAAACCTTTCCCGACTCTTCAGGTACAGCCTGAGTCGCGGCGTTTTAACGAGAAGGCAGGTTTTTGTCTTCCAAAACAACACAGAAACGCACGTGCCGCATGGTGACTTCCGCCCAGAAGCCCCAGACCGGAAGTGCGCCTGACGCGCCCCCACCGCTACGTGACGTAACCGAGCTGAATTCGTTTATAACTTTCGAATCATATAACGGTTAGTTAAAAATCTTTTTCACATGGTTCGCACCTTTAGCGCTACGTTCGTGCGGAGAATGAACGTTTGGCGATGTATAGTTGTTTTTTTAAGCTAATTTTTGAGGGGGGGGGGGGGGGGGAGGAGTACGCTGTACATCAAAAGGATTGTCTATAAACAAAACTACCTTAAGACAAGCATTATCTCTAGGAAGAACCGAGATAGATACAAGAGATTTTCCATCCAACATGACTGGAAGACTAGAGGCACTATACCTCGAACACATGTCGAACAAATATATGAAGCATAATTTTGAGCCCTAACTGGTTCTCCGAACCATGGGACTTCTAGCGAAATGTGACGAAGATCGAGTTTTGAAGCAGTGATTGGCCGACTTCAACGCAACATTTTTTAATATTATCGGACAAAACAGGTCAGAATAGTTTGTTTTAAATTTCAGAGAATCATTTTCAGTGTTCGCAATTTGAGGATACGGATGACAGAGACAGGGTTCAATGTTACCTAAAGGGGCTTAGTAATGAAGGCGAACTCATACGGCGGTTACGGTGGCAACAAGGCCTGGCGGCAGCGTCGTCCAGTGTTCCCTTGTTGGGCCTGGCTTGGCTTTGTGAACAAACAGCAAGACGTTGGCAGGTGGCGCTAGTAATGTGCCTGCTCACACCCGACTCCCTCTTAATAGGACCAAGGCCCTTTGGTCACGAAGCCTTTATTCAGAAAGGTCGTAATATATCAAGTAGTTTGGCAGGCGTCGAGCTCGTTGGGGCCTCGAGCTTGGACCGGGGGTTGTAAGTTCTGTATTGACACTGCAGCTATTGGTCCGGTTGTTACAGGTTCTACTTCGGCAATGGCTGTCGGTCCAGTTGTTACAGGTTCTGCTTCAGCACTGGCTGTCGGTCCGGGTCGCAGGTAGGCAAGAAGGGTAGTGTCTACGCACGGAGGACGGAATACCTTGAGCTGGCGCTACTGCGCAACTCTCTCGTCTCTTGATGAATTATCGGCTGGATTAGTTATACGGCGGATCTCATAGGTGACTGGAGTAAGGCTCCTAGTAGGTTGGGGCAAGTTTTGTAGTGCCATCTGTGATTGGTTCTTGACGTCGAAGTTATATACGATGATGATGATGTGGGGTTTTATGGCGCAAGAGCAACTTAGGCTATATTGCGCCAAACAAAGGCTTTCCCAAAGGGCTTAGAGGTGTATTCTAAAAGAACTGCACGTTACAGCTGGCGTAAAAGGCCAGTGTTATGAAGGAAATTTAAAACTCAATCGAATGGTACCAATGGTTGATCGCCAAGCAGAAAATATGGATGAAAGGGGAGGTGATTTTGAAAAAGTTCTGGAAAACATTTTCGGCGCTCTTGGTTTAAAACTTTGCAATGCCACAGGATGTGCAAAACAGTCATATCTTTCCCACACTTGTTGCAAAGTTTAACATCATCACCACAGAGCAGGTTCAAATGAGTCAAACGGGTATGACCAATTCTTAAGTGGCAAAGGAGAACCTCAACCCGACGGACTTCATGGAAGGAACTCTCCCATACCTTCAGTTGGGGCTTGATATTGTGAAGCTTGTTCTCTTTTACCAAATCCCAATTCAACTTCCATGACTTCATAATCGATTTCTGTATGACCGGTTTCAGGTCTTGGTGTGGCAGGCAAAGAGGCAGTTTTGGGTATTCTTTTGCAGAGGCAGCAAGCAAGTCTGCTTTTTCATTGCCAGAAATACCCAGGTGGCTTGGGACCCAGCAGAATTTGATCTGGCGTCTTAGTTGAAGTGCTCGTTTTAGCCGTACCCGAAAACATTGCACGAGAAGGTTCTTGCTGTCTGCTAAAGACGAAACGGCCAGAAGAACGCTTTGGGAGTCGACAAACAGAATTGCTTTCATGACATTGTTCTCTAATAAGTACTCCACAGCCATTAAAACACCATACAATTCGGCAGTAAAAATATTTGCAAGAGTGTGGAGTTGTCGAACATTGCTAAAGGTAATGGAATAAACTGCACACCCCCCAAAAGTTAATGTTTTCAATCCATCAGTGTAAAAATGTGAGTAGTCCTCGTATTTATGTTTGAAAT